TTTAGTTTATAAATTTGTATTGAGATTCTAGTCCATCACAGGAGCGAGCTTGGAGCGGTGGCTACTTTACAACACACACAGGGACCATGGGGAACAAAAGTAGCCACCCCCCAGAAGGAAGGACAGTGTCAGCACCAATTCAGAGATGATTTTGAGAATCTACAGCTGAGTGATACAGAAAAAACATACATTTTTGTTAATAATTAAGGTACTTGATTCAATTTTTAAGATTTAACTCCTGAGTTTAGTGTCACTTTAAGGACATGTGCTGTTGGGTTTTTGTAGATTTATACATACAAAGCAAACATGAAAATATGAACGTTGAGGTTCTCTCAGAGAGAAATCACCAATACTTTCCAACTGTCATTTAACTTGTTAAAAACTGAAAGCTGAATTCTGATTGTCTACTGTGTGTAACGGAATATCGCTGCAGCTTAACCATACGCAACATAAGCTATGATTTCCTAACATGTCAGAATAGCTTTCTCCATGAGATTGCATAATGTCAGTTTTAAGCTAGAAAAGGGAAGTCTATCCAAAGCAGAAATAAATCTGCTAACGCTCAGGAAACCATTATACTAAATCAGAAAAAAAAAAAAATGTTAGGGGAAACGGTTTCTCCAGAATCAGAGATTACAATTACAAATGTTTCCTTTCACAAATATGTTGAGGGTTTTCTGAATCATAATGAAGAGGTGTTCAGATGTGCCTACGTAGGAGACTGCAGTTCATAAGAGATGGCATGATAACGAATGCTTTTATTTTTTTGTGAAGGTCACAGTCCCTTTTTACTTATGCTTCACTACTTGTGGAAATGTTGCTAATTAGAGGTGCACCAAAATAGAAATTTAAAAAACGAAACCGAAATAAAAAAAATTGTCAGGCCGAAACCGATACCGAAAATGTTTTTATTTAAATTTTTTCGATTTCTTTAAATATTTTATTTTTATTTATTTTTTATAAACTTTTAAATATTGTTATATTTATTTTTATTTTTTTAATAAATAGTTTTATTTTTTACTTTTAGGGGCTTCGGGGAAATATTAGGGGTCTAAACAGACCCCTGATATTTCCCTTTTAAAATAGAAAAAAGAGATTGAGAACACAGAGTCCTCAATCTCTTTTTCTGTATCCCCTGTTATAAATGAACAGGAATCCTCTGAGTGTTCCTGTTCATCCCCAAGGAAAGAGCAGAGAGAGGGGAAAGAGCAAAGGAAGGAGAGAAAAACAAAAAAAAGGAGGAGGCAAAGGTTGTGTATCCACAAGAAAATAGGAGTATCCCACTGGGGGATGTGTCTATTCACTCTCAGAAAGTATTGCTTCAACCAGTCAAACCAGTCCACTAAGGTATGACCAGAGAACAGGAACAAACCAATGAAGGATTATATTTCAAATTATCGTATTCCTCCCGCCTGTGAATAAATTCCAAGGTTCCCAGATCCGTGAAAATGTATCCAGTCTATCCTACTTAGTGAAGAGAAGTTCTTCCATCTCACAAGTATATGCTAGCTGGTTAAGCCATTTGACGATTGTGGGAGCACGAGTATCCCTCCACAACATGGGTATGAGTGACCTAGCTGCATTAACTAAATATTTGTGTAGGGACTTCATGGGGCCCACATTATCCTGGTCCGAGAGATGTAACAAGAAAACCCCAGGAGCGAACTCCAAGGTTGCCCCTGTGATTTGACATATCCGATCGTGTACGCGTCTCCAAAATGGTTGAAGTGAAGTGCAAGTCCAGAGGAGATATGTAGCAGAGAGCCACGGTCAGAACCACATCTCCAACAGACTGCAGATAAAGTGGGATCCATTTTGTGTAGTAGTTCAGGCATCCTATACCAATGTGTAAGGATTTTAAAATTGCATCTTACTGCTCACAGAGCATTTATCCGCCCCCCCTCCCCCCCAACAGACCATAATAGACCCCTTCCCAAGTCTCATCTGAAATCTTTAGGGCCAACTCTGTTTCCTACTTCACCTTCAAATTTGTCATATGAGTAGGTTTAGACTCCCTTACTATAGTGTAAAGCCAGGAAATGAGGTGTCTAAACAAACTTTACACCTTCTAACCCTTCATAACACTATTAAAAATTTGTTTTTTTCCCTTTTGGCGAGCTTTCCCATCACTTCCTGTCGCGACAGGAAGTAAGGAAAAGTCTAGCCAATAGAGACAGAGCAACAACCCCTTCTCTACTACATCCAAGATAAAATGGCATATTTTGTCTGCAGTTGGGGTTTCAGCTGAACATATGTAAATAGCAGACACCATCCTGTGCTTGAACACTGTCATTACAATCTTCAGAGTGCCTCCTGTGCACCCCGGGAGACTGGATATTTCCAGAAGACATGTCATCCCACCATGCTATGTAGGATACAATTGGAAACGATCTATGCTGTGCCAATGGAGTCATCTTAAAATTGTGACTTTGGTCTGCAGGCACAGGATCCTTCCTGCTATAACACATTAGATTAGTTGACTGTGTCTTTCAAAAGTACAGCTACACCTTGGGTAAACCACATAGCAGTCAAATTCTTTTTCAGCAGCCCTGAAGTGTTCTTGGGGGACTAAGAGGTGGACTCTAAGGGGGGAAGCTACATAGGCATTATGTAATACAGATGCTATAATTTGTTTGATTAATACCAGTTAAGTTTTATTTTATTAGAATGGGCACTTGATTTAATATAGTCTTATGCAACAGCTTTGTCAAATGTTGTCTTTCACACATATACATTGCATGTTCTGCAAGTTTTAATTCACAATGACTAGCTTCTGCTAAATGTAATTTGCCAGATACATACCACATGCTCTTAATGTGTTTTGATTAGGTAATAGTAGGCCTTTAATGGTGAACTCCAGGTGGTGTGAAGGGGTGTAAAGGCATCACAAAGGAGTGAATCTGACATGCCTCTGTGTTTAAGGATTAGTTTATCTATATATCACATTGCATTCACTCCTTCCTTCAGCTATTTTAGCGACAGTTGCCTCATTTATGTGTCAACAACAGGATCAAAAGGAACCTGTTGCATTGATGGCCTCTGCAGCAGAGCCTGAAGGGAGATGTAGTTGATGTAGAACCATAGATTAACCAGTCACAGGGTAAGGGCAAATAACCAAGGTTAGGTAACTGGGACCTTGTAAGTCCATTATATGGCCCACATTTTGTTGACACTGGACCATCACACCTATCTTAACTTGTTGGATATCCCATTTAAAAAAACTATGGACATAAATACAGAGTTGAACCCCAAAGAGCATATATTGCAAATGGGTTTGTGGGAATTTGTGCCCATTCAGCCAAAAGCATATTTGTGAGGTCAGGTACTGATGTCGGATGAGAAAACCTAGGAAACGGCAATCGTAGTCATTAATTCATAACTAGCTTTACAGTAAGGTGCACATGGAAGGGCTTTACACAGTACAAAAGCAAAAATTTCCCAGCACACTCGACAGCGAGCCTGCAGAAAAAATACCCTGTCTAACAGGTTTAAAAACAAAGGTTTTAGCTGCACAACCTTTGCAAAATATGTGGAAGCTGCACTGCCCTGTCAAGGCCCCCCCCCTCATACAGTGCAGTCCCAACTCCAATCCACAAGAGCCCCCCCATCCTGGAGCATATATAGCAAAGGATAAATGGGGTGCAGGTTTGCCAGGAGGCAGCCCAACCCCCTTAAAGGCATAAGGACAAACCAGAAACCCAGCACATCACAATGACCCCAGTCATGTCTCCACACCAAATCCAATAAGTGAAACAAATGGCACACACACACTCATCAATTCATAACCAGCTTTAAAGCAAGGTACATATGGAAGGGCTTTACACAATACAAAAGCAAACATTTCTCAGCACACTCGCCAGCCTGCAACTGCAAAAAAAAAAAAAAAATTCCCCTCTCTATCTATTGGGGTTACAAATAGAGGTTTTAGTTGCACGACCTTGGCAAAATATGTGGAAGCCATACTGCCCCGTCAAGGCCCTCTCGTGCAGTGCAGTCCCATCTCCAATCCACGAGAGCCCCCATCCCGTAGCATGTACGGCAAAGGATGAATTGGGTGCAGGTTTGCCAGAAAGGACCTTCCCTAAACTATTGGCATGGTTGTCCAAAATGGCTTTGTACTGTATGCTGTATCATTAACGGTAATCTTCACTGGAGACACCAGAAGTGAATAATTTCATTGCAGAGAGGGCCTTGTTGACCGCTTGCAGGTTCCAAAGCTGGTCATCACAGTGACAAACACTTGCTTCATGTTCTTAGCAGGAAATTAAGGAAAGCTTTATCGCTATTGCAAACCGGAAAGTCCTTTTTGAGAGGTTGAAGGAAAAACAACACCGCAGACATTAATACTAATGTACTTCTTGCAAGCGTCTTAGGATGGAACTATTGTTATTGCCAGGGGCTAGCAACAGGTGTTTTATTGACACTACAAACTATATCAATTCATTATGCAGTAATTAAAGTTTTGCACAGGGACAAGACAGCCCTGTCCCATCTGCCTAAAACTGAAATATCAGGTTTGCTTGGTTGCTGTCATGTAAAATCCCATGCTGGCTCCTTACAACTCCAGGAGTGAGATATCTTTTTTGGAATTCCAAGTTGTGCCCAAATGCTGTGAACTTTACAAGGACAAATGATTGCATCGCACTACTATGACAGATTATTCTTAAAGTAGAAAAAAATAAATGACTAGGGGGTCTAACTTTGAGAGTGGTGCCTTTTTATTTTGGCCTTGTTGGAGGTGGCCGAGGCAGAAAATGCTGTAAGAAAGTTTGGCATTTTGGGACCTAAGGGACCACTAATCAAGGCTGGTAGATTAAATCATGCTACAGGTGCCAGTCCGAAATTAATTTTAGTTTGGAGTTAGGTTGCTTTTGAATGGATGCTAGTCAGATTTATATCTATACTGGTCTATTAATCTGAATGATGAGCACCCTCTAATGAAGTTCTTTTCTGTTCTTAATTCTTTGACCAACCTCCCTTCTCCTGTTTTCTTCTTACAGATGATGTTATGGAGTTAATCAATAATGAATCTATACCTACAATACCACACGGTGATATGTTCTCCTTTCCACTGTTACCCGATCATGAAACCTGTGGTGGCCTCCTTGAAACAGTTACCATCAACCAGTTCCCACAAGAATCAGCTGTTTCTTCTACCTGGGAGTCATGCCAGACCTCTGCACAACCCACGCTGATTATCAAGGAACAGCCAAAGCAGCGGGGGATGCGCTTCCGGTATCAGTGTGAGGGGAGGTCTGCCGGGAGCATCCTGGGGGAAAGCAGCAATGAACAAACCAAGACCCTTCCTGCTATACAGGTAAAGACATTGGTCATTCTTTTTTATGAATACGCTTTCATTTCTTAGAATGTAAGCGCTTTCATAGACACAAAATGTATTAAATACAAAAGGTGCCTCTTATAATAAACTAGAAGGGATAAAAGCAAAACTAAAATGCACAAACACATATGTGAAAATACAAATATTGTGTTTGACATATGTACAATTGTAAAATAGTTTAATGCAGACAGGGATGTGGAGTTTGTATCGGCCAATGCCCGGGACATGCAGTGCCAGGTGTGTAGTTTTTTTTTCTACATTTAGTCCTGTTGGAGGGAAGGTTCCATAAAGAGAACCTATCACCTCCAAACTATCACATAGAGGCTTGTAATCCCGTGTGTGATAGCAAAAAATGAAAAGTAAGAAATAATAAAAAAAGTTATTAAAAAAAACATATCAAAATTAAAACCAACCCTGCCACCTCCACCATCTGCTTGCAAATAAACACACTCGTAGGCCATTGTGTGTGCGTGTTGAGTGCTGCCACCATTCCACCGTGTGCCATATTGTGGTAGCCAGGCAGCAGCACTTTCTAACTCGCACAATGTACATTAAAGGGTAAGTTCACTCTCAGGTATTTTGGGAAAATTGAATTTCCGACTCAAATCTGCCCCCCGCCCCTCGCGCTATGCTTACCTTTTGGCAAATTGTTCTTTCCCTCTGCCAGTACGGGTGTATTATATGTACCATGCCCTATGCATTTTGAAATTCACTTGCAAATTGCGAGCACTCTCACCAATGAGAAGCGCTATTAAGCATGGTTAAATAAGGTTTTTATTAAAACAATTTTTTTTTGTATCGCGACAAGTAGATTGTCATGAGGGACAAGTAGATTAGGACCCCACTTTAGCCCTTGGGCAAGTAGTTCTTTTTTTTAAATGTCCACATCCCTGTGCAAATCAGCTTATAACAAATTGAATGGCAACGTATGGAGGTCTCTTCCTGAGGAGGTCTTGTGTGATGACATCATCACGTTTATTACAGCTGAAAGAATGTGATTCGAGCCATACGCTTAATTTCAGCAGGCGAGCCTACTAAAGGATGGGAGCCCCCGTAGTCCTATATTCCCCTATCACATCCTTTATTCTTCTTCCTTTAAAGTATATACTGTAACTACTGCTGGTATTTACTGCACATGCGAAAATGTGATACCGTGACCGTCCAACACTGGATTTATTACTAGAATGTTATGCAGAACCTGCACACTGTATAATAACCAATAATAATATTGAATAAGAAAATAACAAATATTAACATTATGAGTTCAGTTCCACTTTAAAGGAAACCTGCCATTGGAGAAATATGTAGGCATCCATTTTCTCCTAAAAATATAGATCCTCTGGCCGTATCTGAAGCCAAAGGAAAACTTTTTTATATATTGCAGCTTACCAATCCTTAAATGTTGTAGTTTAGTTTTCTTTTTTATCTGGTGATCCAGCCAGTAAATCTCTTATTTCTCAACTTCCTTTACCAGACCAAGCTGTCCAGCCAAGGTTGTAGAAAGAGTCTTGAGACAAACCATTTAACACTGACAGGAAGAAAATAAAACTATTAACTATTTGTAACTGCTTAAAATTTGTTAGCTGGAGTTTGGATCTAATTTGTTAGGCAAGTCCAATGAAAATCTGCTAGTGCATCTGACACTACCCTCTCCACATGGTGACAATGCTGTTGTCCAAGGTCAGCTCCATTGTTCCTCCATAGAGTGGAGCCATCACAAGATGGGAGATGTGTTACTGGCTGGACCACCAGGTGAAAATAAAGGGAAAAAAGCCTTAAAAAAGAAAAGTAATGCAACCACCACATTTAGAGCCCATTCATACCAGCAGCCACGCTAAACCACGCGGCTGCTGATGTGCGTGTGCCCGGTACAGTGCCAATGTGCTGATAGCAACATCTCACACTGTTTTTTTTTTTTTACATTTTAAGTTCTATATGCACACGCTAATGTGATGCAGTTGTACCATGTTGCACTGCGCTCCACTGGAAAAAGGACTGCATGCCGTACTTTTTTCAGTGTACACCACTGCAACACGATGGTGCGACTCGTTCCCATCCATGACAAGGCAAATTGCTTGCCTTGTGTTGCGGCTGCACTGGAAAAAACGCCCGGTGCAGCCCCAACGCGTCAGCTGGGGACAGGCCCTTAAGGATTGGTAAGCTGTATTCACAGGCTTTAGGTTTAGATACACTCTAATTATTTACATCACTGCTGCTGCAATGGTGCATATCCAGACCAGGAGTTCACTTATCTGGTTGCATATTTGTTCCAGGTCAGTGCTTTTAGAAAGTCATGAAATCAGAGACAGCCAGACAACTAGCATTTTTAAAAAGAGGTCAACAATGGATGCATCCATATTCCTCTCATGACAGGTTTCCTTTAACATGTCCCGAGTTTCATGGCATAGGCCCCCCTTTCAATTTGCCATCCTGTCTTGTAGATTCATATTAAAGCCTTGACTGCTTTGGATAGATTCATCAACCTGTCAGGACACGCTCGCTGCTGCAGTTTATGAACCGGAGAGAGCTGTAGATGCCAAAAGGTTGCCGGCTGGCTAGCAAAGCACAATGTGGGTTCTGACTTCAGAGAGCTGCCTGTGTCCGCTCTATAGAAATAGGTTGTGTTTGGCATTGTACGTTTAGTTAGTTACGCACTTAATTCAGAGCACAGATAGTGATTGATGACATTTGTACAGCTTAACCATCCTTGGAAAGTACCTAAGATTCCCCATATCCAAGCAGCCTCATCACACCTGTCACCTTCCTTGTTTTCTTCTTGTAGCTGTTACACTGCGAGACCATCCAGGAGGCTCATATTAATGTCTGCCTTGTGTGGAAGGACCATCCTCATCGTGTCCACCCGCACGCCCTTGTGGGTAAAGACTGTCATGATGGCATCTGTGGCATCGTACTGCATCCAAGTAACGGAGAGAACGAACATTGGTGAGCTGAACGCTGACAATAACACGCATAGCAATGCAAAGCGGTTCAATAACTGCAAGGTTTACATGACCATGGCCCCACTGCAAAGGTTCATTTGAAAAGATTCTGGAATTAACTAAAGCTGAACTCCAGGCATAGTGTTAAATACACAAATGAAATACATATATGGGGGTTGTTTCATCTGCCATAGGATTTGTATTTTTGTCCATCCAGTTCTGAGCTCTACAATGCTCTGTGACACAGCACATCCCTGTCTGGCAGGACAAGAGGCCAGATTTTTCTCAATTGGAGGTAGGTAACAGATCTCGTCCTGCCCCCAGCCTGTGAAGGAGAAGCAGCAGACTTATGAGCTCATCTCTCTTTCACTCTGCTCTCTCCTTCTGTCATCATGTTCTTTGTTAGCACTGCAGCACAGTTGACTGGCTGCTCTGCTGCTTTCCCTCTCCTAGTCTGGGCTCTTCTGTATTATAGACAACAAGAGGTTGATACCAGGTAAAATTCAGCTACGTCCACTGCTTGCATTTCAAGAAACATATTTACCGATTACGTAGCAGAATGACATGTGGCTGGAGTTCAGCTTTGATAGAAGCAGCATGCAGCTTAGACAAGTGCTCAGATTTAACTTAAATTTGTCCTTTCAGTCAGCTAAATATACAATGCCAGTGAAATACTTTTCATATGTGCTTTCCAAGTGTTTACAAATACCGGCAGTATCTGCCTCTTCTTATGAACAGGTGACAACTGTAATCTCAGTCCCCGAGTGTTGTCACCACATCATGCATGCTCTTGTATTGGGACTGCAGGATTCTGTGTGGACGCACAATGTGCCAGTTGAGTTCTGTTGTCCGCATGCCCCTAAAGCTGGCCATACACCTATAGATTATCTGCAGGTTTTCTGTGGTCAGATGGAAAAAGTGCAACAGATTCCTCCATCCACACAGTTTAGCGTAGATGGAGGAATCTCCCACTGGGCAGAGCTTCTGTATCTTGCTAGTCTGCCCCGCTGGCTCTAAAAAAACACCTGAACAGTGCCTGCATCCTATCAGATTGTTCAGGTATTTTGAGAGCCAGCGGGGCCGACTAACAAGATACTGAATCTTGGCCCAGTGGCAGATTCCTCCATACACACAGTTTAGCGGTGATGGAGGAATCTGTTGCACTTTTTCCATCTGACCATAGAAAATCTGCAGGTAATCTATAGGTGTATGGCAAGTTTTAGTATTCTGATTGATCTTAAAGCCAGCAGCAGCTTCACCGGCAATGGCTGAACGCTGCAGCTTTAACCCCATAGAAAAAGCCCTGGTATGCATAGGAGAAGAGTGCGGTGTAGCAGTCACATGACTAGTAAATACATTGGGGGGAATTTATCAAAACTGGAGCAGAGTGAATCTGGAGTGGTTAATAAAACAAATGCTCTGCGCTATCGAAGAAAAAATAAGTGAAAAAGAAGAAAGACAAGAAAAACCGGACTGGCTACAAGCCGCTAAGACTCAGGCTCTTAAGCCTCAAAGGTTAATTGATCAATGGTATAGCGCTATAAGCCTCACGGTGTGGTTACCAAAAAACCAGTGTTGTGAAAAGTTAAATGAATGGATAAATAAATATGTGAAATAAAATATATAGAATGTGTTGGTCTTCTCGTTCAGCAACGTATCAGTGCGTAATATATATGTGGATATTGTGTAGCAAAGTAAAAATGTAAACAATGTGGATCTCTCTTCGGAGAGAGTAATATACCATAATAATCTGAGTGGTTAAACCAAATATAAGTGTGTGTGTTTAAAACCGCAGTTTTAAACTTATAACAAGCCACTAATGTGTGGATACGAATATAGATATATAGAATATATAAAAAATTATATATAATAATGAAAAATAAAATATATATAATGTATATAAAACTAATTGTAATTAATAATGTATCATAAAAAATATCAATGTCCGATTATATCTCATTCAGGAAAAACTGATGTAAAGCGAAGGGTATGTGTCCACGCTTGAAGTACCGAAGAAACTGCTTGTCAGAAGAAGAAACCCCCGTAGGGGATACACTCACCAGATGCCGGAAGAACGAAAGCCGTCTGGTTTTCCGGGAAATAGGCTTCGATGCTCCGTCATATGTTCCGTTCCTTCCTCACCTCAAAGTATTAGGAAGGGAACCGTTCCTTTGCCATAAAGGGATTTCCAGAGGACAGAAGGATGAAAGCTATCTCGTATTCCAGGAAAGAGGCCACAGCACTCCGTCCTATGTTGCGTTCCCTCCTTGCCTCAGTGTGTCAGGAAGGGAACCGTTAGTTAGCCGTGAAGGGATTTCCTATAAGGTTTCCAGGGGCCGTCACGGTTCAAAATCTCAGGATAGATGCTTGGATCCGGAAAAAAAGAGAGAGGGCAGAGCAAAAGTGCTCATAGTGTATCAAAACAGAGATTTATTGAATGTCATAAAAAACGCTCTGAATGGCGTTACCAATAGGAATAAAGGAATATCGCTGACTGGTCAGCTGCAAAATACAGAGTACTCTTCAGACTGTTGATGTGCCGTAAAATACAGGCCCGTCCCCGACGCATTTCGTCACAAGACGTGATCAAGGTATGGCAGGTTTTTTTATGACATTCAATAAATCTCTGTTTTGATACACTATGCACTTTTGCTCTGCCCTCTCTCACTTTTTTCCCCGGATCCAAGCATCTATCCTGAGATTTTAAACCGTGACGGCCCCTGGAAACCTTATAGGAAATCCCTTCACGGCTAACTAACGGTTCCCTTCCTGACACACTGAGGCAAGGAGGGAACGCAACATAGGACGGAGTGCTGTGGCCTCTTTCCTGGAATACGAGATAGCTTTCATCCTTCTGTCCTCTGGAAATCCCTTTATGGCAAAGGAACGGTTCCCTTCCTAATACTTTGAGGTGAGGAAGGAACGGAACATATGACGGAGCATCGAAGCCTATTTCCCGGAAAACCAGACGGCTTTCGTTCTTCCGGCATCTGGTGAGTGTATCCCCTACGGGGGTTTCTTCTTCTGACAAGCAGTTTCTTCGGTACTTCAAGCGTGGACACATACCCTTCGCTTTACATCAGTTTTTCCTGAATGAGATATAATCGGACATTGATATTTTTTATGATACATTATTAATTACAATTAGTTTTATATACATTATATATATTTTATTTTTCATTATTATATATAATTTTTTATATATTCTATATATCTATATTCGTATCCACACATTAGTGGCTTGTTATAAGTTTAAAACTGCGGTTTTAAACACACACACTTATATTTGGTTTAACCACTCAGATTATTATGGTATATTACTCTCTCCGAAGAGAGATCCACATCGTTTACATTTTTACTTTACTACACAGTATCCACATATATATTACGCACTGATACGTTTTTGAAAGAGAAGACCAACACATTCTATATATTTTATTTCACATATTTATTTATCCATTCATTTAACTTTTCACAACACTGTTTTTTTGGTAACCACACCGTGAGGCTTATAGCGCTATACCATTGATCAATTAATCTGGAGTAGTTGCCTATGGCAACCAATCAGCATCTCTCTTCCGTTTGCTCTGATGAGATTTGAAAATGGGAAATAGAAGCTGATTGGTTGCAATCCAAATTTGCTCCAGATTTTGTCTGTTCCAGTTTTGATAAATTCCCCCCATTGTGGTTTTAAGGGATTTCCAAGGGGCTGTTAAAAATAAAATAAAATGTGTTTCTATTTAAAAGTGTTTCTAAACCCCAAACATTTTAGTTATGGATAGAGTTGGGAAAGATTAGACATCTGTCAGGTTTTACTGTCGTGGGAGATATCCCCAGAATAGGGAGTGAAGGGAAATCTGTCTAACAGCAACATAGACATAAATAATAAAAATGTTAAATGAAGTCGGGGAATGTTAGAACGCCTGTCAGTATTTTATTGTCATTTGTTTCCGTGGTGCAGATTATTCCTCACTTCCTGTTTAGTAAAATGTTATCCCCAGAACAGGAAGTGAGGCAAAAATCTAACAGAGACCCAGATGAGAATAACACCTGCTAGGGTTTTAACCTTTCCCCAGTCTATAAAAAAAAAAGTTTTGAGTATAAATTCAGTTTCACTGCCTGTTATATATAGCCCACATCAGTCAAAATGACTTTGTTTCCATATGCTTTAGGCTAGGTTCAGTTATCGCCGATTGTGCACAATTGCAAAGAGCGGTTGTCGCACAGCCCCATTGATTTCAATCGGGTTATATCCGTGCGGCAATCGCTGAAAAAAGGTACAAGTACCTCCCTTTGCAACACGCACCGCACAGTGTTTTGAACCGCGATTGTACGGGCGGTATCACAACGGGAAACCGTGTGATCTGCTTGGCACGACTGGGGTGCCATTAGAAAATAATTGCACCACCAGCGGGATTGGTGGTCGAGTACGTTTCGTTGACGGATCGCCCTAGTGTGGACACTCAATGCAGGACATTTTTTGAATCCGGTGTGGAAATCACTACATTTTGCCTCCTTTCCTGGGTTTCTTTCTGTGTCCATTTTATATTATTATTATGCAGGATTTATATAGCGCCAACAGTTTGCGCAGCGCTTTACAATATAAGGAAGACATTACAATCACAATACAATTCAAGACAAAATGCTAAGGAGGGCCTACAATCTAAAAGGGAGGGGCCAGTGATACATGAGGAGGATGCTGTGTGGAGATGAATTGTTTGAGGACGTGATGGTATAAACAAATAATATCCGAGTCCCTTGTTAGAGTCACTTTATTTCTAAACACCTCGTCACTACTTAGGATACATATTATAGGAGCTGCCATTGCCAACTTGTGTTTAGTGCAAGCTGCTCAGATTTCTTCTTCATCTTTAAATGAATTGCTTGGTCTCTCACCTGGGACACGTATGCAGCCAGTGCAAGTCGGGGCTTCTGACCTACTTAATTGTTAAGGTTAGTGTCCCATAATTCAAGTCGTTGAGCAAGAACAGGAATGATGACCTTGTACCATATACCTTTAAAGACACTGCAGCAGGCATGACATTGAGGCACCTAGGGGTGCACATACCTACGAGAGGTGCACCGAAATAGAAATGTAAAAACCGAAACTAAACCGAAAAAAAAAACATTGTCAGGCTGAAACAGAAACCGAAATTTTTTTTAAAATTTTGTCTTTATGAATTCATTTTTTATTTAATATTTTTATTTTTTACTTTTAGGGGCTTTGGGGAAATATTGGGGATCTAAACAGACCTCTGATATTTCCATTTTAAAATAGAAAAAGAGATTGAGAACACAAGAGTCCTCAATCTCTTTTTCTGTGTCCCCTGTTATCAATGAACAGGAATCCTCTGTACTGAATGTTCCTGTTCATTGATACAATGTTCTCATGTTATGTTTACTATAACTACAATCATGAATAAACAGGAGGGGATTTAGCTCACTTATACTAACCATACAATGTCCTCAATTATGTACAAACACTCAGCGATCACTGATCGCTGAGTGTTTGCACTTGCTCTCCTCTCTGACACGCTGTCACAGGAGGCTGAGCGACTGGTGCAGGGAGGAGAGCTCAGCCTCCTGTGACAGCGCGGGCTATCTCCGCCCCCACACCGCTCTGCCGGACTGTGATAGGCGGCTGAGCGTTGTGGGAGGAGAGACAACGGCCGCTAACCAGGCTCTCCTCCCGCAGCGCTCGGCCGGCTGTCACTTTCTCTCCTCCTCGCTGGGCGCTGCTCTGTGTCCCAGCGGGGAGGAAAGAAACCTGGGATGCGCCGATGTGTATCAGCAGGAAAATGGCACTTTCGGCATTTAGCCAAAAGTGCAATTTGCGGCCGATAATGTTTGTGTGGCCGATATATCGGTGCATCCCTAGTGCCTACCATTACAGATAAATCCCTTGCTGTTCCAAAAGACCAAATTCCGATGCTTCTGGGTGTTGTCGGAATGTGCCACCACACATGCATTTCTATTGGCCTACCACTATGATGCTCAGCCTCACTGGCCAATAGAAATGTACATGATGCAGGACAGGGCAAGCTTTATCACTGCTGGGAAGGGCTGTAGCTTTCTCTTTCAGAATGGCCAGGGATTTGTCTGTCACCACAAGTTTTTGGAGGCTGCTGGAGCTTTGTTCAGTCACCACTGAGTCCCTGCACTTTAAACCTGCATCAGTTTTAGTTGTAAGACAAAGACTCTTTACCCCCTTCATGACCTCAAAGCGCAGTTATAAGTCCAAATGTTAAAGAAGAACTCCGGGCAAAGCTTTTATTAACCCTTGCAGTTGGGCTACCCCTGCACTGCAAGGGTTAAGTGCTCGCTTATGTCTATACTCGCCTTATCCTGGGAGCCAGCTTGCTCTTAGATCAGTCCTTGCAGCCTGTTCCCCCCCCTCCACTGCAGCGGTCTAAGGTCCCGTAAATGATCACGTTCTATACACGTGAGGACGTTGAGGAAAATCACAATGCTGCAGCGTAGGAGAGGAGAGGCTTCAGAGACCGGAGAAACGGGAAGCCAGCTCAGCAGTTCGGGTGAGTATAACTTTTTTTTTTTAGCACCTAGACAAAAACAGCAGTTTAACGCTTGCTATATGGAGGTAGCCCCACTGCAAGGGTTAATAAAAGATTTGCCTGGAGTTCTTCTTTAAATGGCCCTTCCATAAGAATGTTAACTAGCCTTGCAACAATGAAATAGCAATGCACAACTGTGCATGTTCCTAGTTCTCAGACCCGCTGAGAAAAATGAGTCATAGAGTTGCTGTCAAGTTAACTGATGCATACCAACGCTGCATGACTTGGTCTGGAGGTGTGAGCTTCAAGATTCTCTGGTCATGAAAGAGATGAACACGAGTCAGCAATAGACGCTTCCATAATTCTCTCCTGACATGCTGACCGAAGAGAAATTCTGACTATTGCAACACGAATTGTTGTTACTAATTGCCAATCCCATTGTGGTTTCTGTCGTTTGTATTTACATTGCACTTGTCTCACCTCCTGTAATTTTCCTTCCCCCAGCTTTAGTAATCTTGGCATCCAGTGTGTGCGGAAGAAGGAAATTGAGTCATCGGTTAGAGCCAGGCTGAATCTGGGGATAGACCCCTATAACGGTGAGCACCAACTGTAATAACCGCCATCTTTATGTACATTGCTCCTAGGTGACTTACAGGTTCAATTGTTTCAGGAAGTATTTTCAGAGAGCAGGTGAGCGTTATCTATAGCTATCATTGTTGTATGATTGGCTGCTTCTTAAATAATTCTCTATCAAACAACCAATCACAAAATACTAAGGAGCTGACCCATCATGTCAGCTGTATCTTTGAAACAGTTGTCAAGGAAAAACTTAAAGAACCCCAGGAAAATGTTTTATTAACCCTAGCAGTGAGGCTACCCCCCGCTCCGCAAGAGTTAAAGGAGAACTATGAGGTGAGTGATTTACATTCGTCCTCTTAGACCCCGTTCACATTGAGTGATTTATCGCGCGGTAATTCCCGCGCGATATCGCGCTCCAATGCAATCCAATGGGGCAAAGGGTCCTGCTGTCGCGGGTCGTGTGTCGCTACAGCAGGACCCTTTTTGGAGCGGATTTAGCCGCGATTCAAGCTTGCTCAATGCAAGCTTGAACGCGACATCGCGCGGCAAATCTCGCGATGTCGCGCAAATATGCAAATCGCGCAGTGGGAACGGGGCCTAAGTTATAGCCGATGTGCAACAATGAAACTGTCACATGTCGGCTCTATTGATCGGGAAGTCAGCTCACTTCCCGATCATCTTCCTGCAGTCACCGATGTCTATCAGTCGTGGCTTCCCGCAGGGATTCCCCCCTTCCCTCTCCGATCCTCCAGCGCTGACTTGAGGAACGGACAGGGGAGAGCATGGGCACAACTAGCTCTGTCTCTAGATAGGCAGAGCCCGCTGTCAATCAGCCAGCTGGCTGGATCTCGACAGTATTGTCTTCGGCGATAGCAATAGCTCGCTATATACTGAGCTTTGGGTAACGGGAGTACGTTAGTATATGTCCTCCTGTGACCCTAAAGAGAACTATGGGATAAAAAGGTTACCCCATAGTTCTCATTTAAGTGCTCATTTGTGTCAGGGTACAAAGGTTTACTCACCCAAACCTCCAAGCTGGCCAGCTGACACAGTGCTTCCTGTATCCTCCTCCTCCGCACATTGGAATCTTCCTTAAGGTGCCCATACACTGCACGATTATCGTACGATAAGCGTATGCGATCGGTTTTTCGTACGATAATCGAGCAGTGTGAACGGAGACGTGCGACCGTTTCTACTGTACGGTCGCACGTCTTCTGTCGAACCAGCATGTTCGAAAACCAGCCGGGAATCGTACGATTCTCGGCTGGTTAGAACGGTGCTCGGAAGATAAATGCTGAACGGGCCGGTGTGCGCACACTGCCCGTTCAGCATTGCGGTCATCGGAAGCCCGCCCCTCAGGGGGGCGGGCTTGCGATGATCGAGAGTGCGATCTGCCTGTCCAAGATAGGCAGATTGTACGTTTTTTTAATCCCTTTACAACCATCGCAAGACTAAAGTCTTGCGATGGTTGTAGAGTGTATGGCCACCTTTAGTGTGCTCACATCCATGCACTGTGTATGGTTGTTGATGATTTCCAGGACTCTTAGACTGCTGCAGAGGAGGGGGTGAGACACTGGAAGGAGCGGTCTAAGAAGAAGCCGGCTCGGAACTTTGGGTGAGTGTTACTTTTTTTTACATTATTTTTAACCTAGACACAAACGAGCACCTAACCCTTGCAGCGCGAGCGTAGCCCCACGACAAGGGTAATAAAAACATTTCCTGGAATTCTTTAATCCTGTTGGAAATGAGAACTTTGCACTGTGGTGGCTAAAAACAGATCTTTGGTCTGAGGGCACCTAGCTGAACCTGAGCATGAGCTAAGCACTGGTTCACTATAGTATTCCCCTTAGCTCCTCTCCTGGCCGCTGCATAAATAGTGATGTAGGGAGGTGAGGGGAGGGTCAGAGGAGCTATGACATGCAGGGAGCAGGCTGTCAGTCAGTTTCAGTGAGAGGCAATCAGCATGTAAATACAAATATTTGTTCGCCACTTTTACCTGCATTTTGTTGAATTGGTGAAGGGGGCCCCTATAATCTTTCTTTAAAATCCTGAAGCATAAATTGTTCTTGTCTTCAGCAACCGATCAGATTCTCCTATATGGCAGATACGGGAGAATGGAATTGAGCTCCCACTGATTACATGCAAAGGAAAAATCACAACTGACACTCATGTCATTGTCAGATAAGACTTGATGAATGTCTATTAAAATCTCAGGGGGGGATTTATCAAATCTGGAGAGGATTTGCATTGCAACCAATCAGCTTCTTTGTCTCATTTTCAAATCTTACCTGAGCAAACTGAAGAGAGAAGCTGATTGGTTGCCATGGACAACCGCTCCAGATTATGTCTGCTCCAGTTTTCATAAATTCCCCGCTCAGTGTATTTGGTTTAACTGCTTCTCATTTAACTCAACAGCTGGAATATGGCGACACCATGAAGAGGTGGATCTGAACGTGGTCAGGCTTTGTTTTCAGGCATCGTATGTTTCATCTACAGGACAACAAATGACGATAGGACCTGTGCTGTCAGAGCCCGTGTATGATAAAAGTAAGTAGTCAAAAAAACACACAAAAACTCCAGTAAGTCAAGTCATGGACGTGCTAAAATAAAAGTATATTTACATAAAGCTGGCAGAAGTACTGAAATCTGTCCTGACTTTGGCTTCCTTTGATTACCTTCCCAGTGTCCTTTCATGCATGCAATGTTGGGTCAGAATTTCCAAAGCAAGGGAATGGGAGTGAGGCAGTTGGGGAAGGAGCCATTGGGGGAACACATGGAGGTTAAAAGAGAACTGTGTAATCACATCTGTTTCTTAACCACTTGCCGTCCGCCCGTTGTAAAAAAACGGACGGACGGCACTGCTGCATTGGCGGGTTGCCGTCGCCAGACGGCATTTTTTTTCTGCTCGCGCGCGCCACCTAGCGGGCACGCACGAGCAGAAAAGACCCGACCAATGCAAACACCCGTTAGCGGGTGTTTCACATATAGACGATCGGTGGCTCCATAGCCCGCCGATCGTCTATATGTGCTCGTTTTTTTGGACTGACCCCTCACCTTGAATCCCGGGATCCGCTGCCCCATCTGCGGCCCGGGACCGGCTCGGAGGGCGTCAGGAGGAGGAGGACGGGAGATCAGCTCCTTGCTGTCTCCCTCCGGGCTGTGAATGCAGAAGTGATGTGTATTACATCACTTCCGCATTAAGTTTCTTTAAATCCTAGTCCAGGAGAAACTCACCTGAGGAGTCCCTGTGCTCAGATTCTGATTGTTCTTCCTGCTTCGCATGTCCTGTGTCTGATTGGAATATTTCTCTTTGTGCTCCTCTAGAATCCACAAACACTTCAGAACTGAAGATATGCCGGATCAATAAAGATTCTGGCCACTGCGAAGGAGGAGAAGAGCTGTACATCCTGTGTGACAAGGTTCAGAAAGGTAACCTGTCGTAGGTTGGCTCTGCACCATCTCCTGTGTGGGAATTGGTAATAGCTGACTAGGAGATAGTATTCTGATTTGGTAATGATTAGAAGGAAAAATATATTATGTCGGTCACTGGCAGGGTCCACCGCAACCATCCTTTATTCTTCCCACTGCCCTCAAGGGGCCTGCTATCGGTAACTGCTATTGGTGCCTTTTGAAGTGATAATAATATTGTATTGTCAAAATTCCCATTTACCATAGAATCTCCAAGCTGACAACGTGGTATGTCACTGGTTGCTAAGATGCTGGTGGCTGACAGCTTCCTAGCAACCAGCGGCCCCTAGGGAAGCTGTCACATATAGTAGTGGTAGTAATACAGCCACTGTATATACACTTGTTGCAGAATGTTAGGCTTTAGGTCAACACCCTATTTTGTTTGGATGTTCGGCGAATGCCAAAAATCCCTTCTGCTGAGTGGAGCAGCGCCACCTCTTTCAAGTGCTGCCCAGGGAATGTGCCATACTGGCCATATCCTGGATACGCCAATACACAACAAGTCTGCTCAATGTCTTCCAGAATAGGAAGCCGATTATCAATGATTCTCTGAGGCACTAGTATAATCCTTTTAAAGGGACTTTTGCCTTCAGCTTTACTGCTGCTGTACCAAACTGTGATGGCGTAATTGCACATTGATAAACACTCATAACTTCTTTGCTATCAGTGTTTTATGTCTGTGTAAAGTAAGATCATATTACTGTAGACTAAACACACACTATATTGCCAAAAGAGCTGAGGCGCACAGGACATACGTGTTTATTACTTATGCTCCTTGGATCCATCTAGTGGCCATAATACATTATTACATTACATTCCTGGAACTTAAAGTGTGTGTGTGTCCCCGTCCAAAAACCTTGATTGACCACTCCAGGACTGCTTTGTATATCTGAAAATGATAAATATGTGTATGAAGATGGTTGCCTGTCATTAATTGTACCTTTCAACATTTTCTGCAGAGGATATCAAGGTGATGTTCTTTGACAGTACATGGGAAGCTTGCGCCAACTTCTCCCAGGCTGATGTGCACAGACAGATTGCCATCGTTCTCAAGACGCCACCGTACCGCGATCTGTATATCCAAGACCCGGCTCCTGTGCAAGTCTGCCTGCAGAGGATCACAGACGGAATCCGCAGCGATGGATTGACTTTCACATACTTGCCACGTGATGAAGGTAAGTAAGTGTGTATGTTCAGGTGCCTGTGACTTCATTGTTGAAGTTGGGGAAAACAATATGCTGCAGATATGTTGGGTATTTTTGTTTTGTTTTTTCTATTCAGGCTTAAAGGAATGTTGGAATTTTAAAACGGAAGGAAGGTGTGTAGTTTAACACAGCATCCTTCACAACCAGTGGGTGGAGCCTGATGGGAATGCTGAGGAACTAGTTTGCCATGAGGTCCGCTCAGCTAGTTATGGACAGGAGGAGGTGGGTCAATAGTAGGATGGATGTTGGCTATTGAATCTGCCCACCTATTCCTGTCAATTATTAGCTTAGCTGACCTGATGGAGAACTGCTACCTCAGCATTGCCAGTGATGTCATACACTAAAAAAAGAATATGCCCCACCCCTTTGTATACATTAGGCTGCAGGGTGTCGTGGGCATAAACAAGATGGTGCCAGCTTCAGCTACTGTGGGGGAGAGATGACTACTGCTGCAGAACACGCAAAGATCATAGCAGAGCAAGTCTATGGCGATCTTTGGACTTTTAATACATTACCCAAGACAGCCACGGTTTTATTTTCCACAGCGACTTTACCTTCGCTTTAATGGTTAGCCCCTTCCATGTAAAAACCAAAAAGTCCGACCTCCTCAGGCATTAAGCTCCGCCTTTTTCTTGTATGGCAACCCCTTGAGGATTTTCTTTCAACTTTTTAGCTGGCCATAGACAGATATTGGTTTCAAAATGCCAGACAAGGAGATATTTACAACTCCCCACATGCATTGGATGAGCATAGAGACATGCATAGAGACATGCCTTGTCCACCACCAACAATAGTATATAAATACATTGCATTCTTCCCTGGAAGAGTAAAGAATATTTGCCAATATCAAAGTATATGGCATTAAGAATAATGGTATTTAAAGTAAACTTATGCTTTAGTGTGTCAACTTTGCTGCTGGAGGAGAACGGGCACCATATGGCAACAGATCATACCTTTTTATTGCGACAGTGCATCTTCCCAGAACACTGCTGGAGCCCACCTCCTGTATACAAATACTGACTTCCTGATGGCCATCGTTTACATAAACGCACACCCCCTCCAACCTACTTTATATTGTGTTGTCATATTGCATAGAGCACATTACTAAAGTAGGTGTTGTACATTACAAAACTTACAGGTAGAAGCAGTTCTATGTGTACCGTTTGTCTTGAGATGTTCTCATTATTAAGCTGGCCATACACTGCTTGAATTTTTGCTGAATCGGCTGAAATTTTGAGCAGTACAAAACAAAAGCTGGTCCGAAAATTCTCAAGCAAACAGCACCTGCATCCAATGAGATCCATGCACTCTTTGGGTGTCCAAGAGCCTGCAGCAAGGATTCCCCCATTCACGCTGTTTAGTGTGGATGGGAAAATGGATGGACTACTCTAGAAATTGGAAACATGTATGGCCAGCTTTATTCTCAGATTCCTGAAGCTGAATACAAACAGAATTTGATTGGTCAGCTTGTTAAATGCTGATTGTGATAGATGATGTTGAAGGAAAGCTGTACTGAGGTGACAGGCTGCCACTGCTGACCTTACATATAATTGCTTCAGTACTTTTGTGTGTCACTGACCCAGACCAAGTATGCAAATGAGGAATTCTGATTTTGCTGTGACTTTACCTACTGCATTCTTGTCATTGTCTCAGAGTACTGACGCCTGAGAGAGCTGGGTAACGAGCAGATTCAAGAGACAGCTTACACATTTCTCTCCTTGCAGGTGTGCTTATAACAAGCAATTTAAATGAAATACAGTAGAGTGGTCCAAATAATCCTTTTTTGTCAAATAGGTTGCATAGAGGAATCACTGTGTGTATAATGTGCGTGTATGTGTGTGCGTCCCATTGGTGTTCTGCCCAATCTGACTAGACGAATAATTTACTCTAAAATGTTATGACAGGTCTCTACGGAGTGCGTGAAAAGCGACCCCGTCTGTCTAATCCGCTAGATGAGTTCCAGGGCCATGGTCAGTATTTGATCACATTATATATTCTACATGTCTAGTCTTGGACATCACTCTGATCCATTTTATTTCTTTGCAGACCCACATAGGATTGAGAGCAGGAGACGGAAAGTAAGACCCAATTACACAGATCACCTATTGTCTGCATCAGGTAAGTACACAAAATGTCGTCTTAGTTCAATCTGAATTTTATGTAGGAACAAGAAAAATGACAGCGTGACAATACATAAGGGATACATAACAAGGTTGTGAGAGTCAAGATATGATGCATTATGTTTCATGGGGTTCCAGTAGCAAGAAAGTTGTTGCACCATTAAGACTGTCATTGGATCAGGGAGATGTCTACATTGAGGGGGTAGGAAGCACATGGAGGATGTCAGCTAATTCAAGGCTACAAAATAGTTGGCAGTCATTAAGTGAATAGGTTTAGCTGCACTGCTACAGACCGCTGATGTGGTACATAAGCAAGGAATAGTTTTTATCCAGAGTTTTTGGTATATATTTATGTGGTTGGTAGTGCAATTACATGGTGATGATCTTACATTAGATGTGCCCTGTAGAGGTAGAATCACACTTTGCCTCCTGTCCCCTCAGCTTACTATTGCTGCAATGCACACAGATGGAAGCTCAAACCCAGCACGGTTTCTCGAACCGTGCTGCACGGCCGTATTGGACCGCTCCCGGGAAGGACAGGTGCTGCGTGTGATTACACACGTACTCCCATAGAGAAGGACTGGCTGCTGCGTGTAGTCACACGCAGCACCTGTCCTTCCCGGGAGCAGCACGGTACGGCCGTGCACGCAGCACAGATCTGTACTGGCGCCCGTTTCTCATGTGAAATGAGGGCTTAAAGAAGAACTATGGGGTAAGTGTTTTTCCCCATAGTTCTCCTAAGGGTCACGGGAGGACATATACTAGCGTCCTCCAAAGACCCAAAGCTCAGTATACCGCGAGCTACAGCTCACGGTATACCGAGACAGCCGGATCCCGACATTACTGTCGAGATCCACCCAGCTGCGTGAGTGACAGCTGGCTCTGCCAATCTAGAGGCAGAGCCAGCTGTACCCGCCCCCTCCCCCATCCGTTCCGCCAGTCAGCGCTGGAGGATCGGAGTGTGGAGGGAATCCGTGCAGGGAGCTGTGAGTGACAGTCACGGCTCTCTCCAGGGAGATGATCGAGACGTAAGCGAGCGACGGTATGTGTTCACTCTCTTTCCGGTCTATTGAGCTTACATGTGACAGTTTCCTTGTCACACGTCGGCTCGAACTATGAGGTTGAGTGAAAATCACTCACCTCATAGTTCTCCTTTAAGCTCACCACACACATTACGATCTGACTGTACAATCCTGGTTAGATCTACCAACAACTATGTAGTGAAGGGACTACCTGATTGGATACATTAGGTAGGAGCTCATATTACTGCGTTTTGGGAAATCTAAAGTTTGTTCTACAACGATTGTACGGCCAGATGTTGATATCTATGGTTATCCTAAGCCAGGGGCAGGGATAGCATCAATGTTCAGCATGGGCCTTAATACGGGGCTTATTGCAGTACATGAATGCACAAGTACAATATTTAGGAGCAGTTTCCCACCCCTGCCTCAAAACTGGAAAATGCATGTTCAGATTGTACCTGTAGACCTACTTAAATGGGTAATCACATGTTCACTCCATAGTCTAAGGCATTTCATAATGTGGGGATATGAGAAATGTTTGTAAGGTGCTCTGATTTAATACCTTCTCTTTAACTTTTTATAGACTATGTCTCCGTGCCCACTAATGATATTCCTGGATTTAATTTCATGGCCATGAACCAGCCCCCAGTAGATTATAACGCATTCATTGAAGATACACCTCCAAACTTGGACATCTTCAACACATGGCCTGAAGTGGAGGAACAAGCGACTGCAAGTCCTTTTGATGGTGGAATACCTTACATTGATGAGGAGGCTACAGCCAGCTTGGTGGGGAACAGTCTCAATCTTGCAGGAGAGCAGGAACAGATGTACCCAGACTGCTCCTACGCAGATGATATGAGAATGGGCAATTGTTGACCTTTAGTGTTTGCTTATTCAGAAATGGACTGAATGTGCCACCTGTTAGCCACAAATGATTGGAAAACTCACTTGGTCATGTGCTAATAAGAGTGGACAGTGGCAGTAGCCTGAGAGCACTTATTTGTGTTTATGTAAATATAAAAGTTAGCAGAGAAAGCAACCACCCAGCAAGCAAGATAAGAGCATTAATAGAGATGTCCCACTACATTATCACACCTCTCCATAAATGTACATAAAATATTCAATGGTTAAGTGTCAAAAGTATATGCCCAAAAGATCCTCATTGCTTGTAGGTGGTTACAATGGACCATTGCCGTCCAGGTGGGAAGGGAACTTCATCATTTGATTTGTATGGGGAGAGAGCCACAGCACTCTAATCACACTTTATTCCTCCGCCTCATTACACACAGTTGGGAAAGTAAAACAGTCCCTGACTGCGGTCATTCGAGAAGTCACAAATATCGGTATGGCACTACATGGAGTTTATGAGAGTATAGTAACCCATTGCCACCAATCAACTTTACCGTAGTTAAGATATTTGAAATAGGTAGATTTGGGTTATTTACCCCAATACATCATTGTTCTCTCTAGTGCTCTATGTGATAAGCCTAATGGCGTTTTCTATCTTTCATTTTGTTTTAAGATTTGGATAGAATCAGGAAGGGTTAGATCCTCTATCAAGGTTCTCTAGCTGTGAGTGTTGCCTTAGTCTTGTCCTGTTGGCATCCAGCATTGTTGTGTGCCAAGCTTCCTGTTTTCCTTCCGCAGAATGCATTCTTCACAATTGTCTTTTTAGAATTCACTAGGGGCTGGTGACAGCATTCCAGAGAGAGGGGTAGAAGGAATTTGAGCTCACAGCAATGACCTAGGTGTCATAAGTGAGGGGAGATTTCTCCAGTTGGGGCATAGGCAACAATAAATACCTGACAAGCAATCTAGTTCCCATGTCTATTCAAAACATCAGGTTTTAGGTAGAGTTTCACGGTAAGTTGCCCATACATGTGGTGATCTAGTTTCCTAATACTACTCGGATACAACAGATGCGGCCATTCACAGTGGGAATTATGTGTAGTTCATGTGGTTACTGAATGCCCATGTCATGTAGGGAAAGGCTGCATCAGTGCATGGATGAATCTCTCATCCATGCACTGATGCAGCCTTTGAAAGTTGGCATCTCCTACCCCAGGTGTTCAGTATCTGCCATACCAGAAAAGTCAGACACACGGGTCAGCTGTCTGTAGTGAAGGTCTAAAAGCCCCTTTTCTGAAAGTGTTTGGGCCTCTTCAGTTTAGCCAGAACTGGTGTAGCCACCTTTTATTGATGAAATTAGTCATGTTTATCTCCTGGATTTCCCTGAGAGAGAAGGGGTAGGGAAAGTGGACGTTGAGCTTCAGCGGACGGGAGTGGGGCTTAAAAGTGACCTGGTTTTGTAAAAATTTGGGGCATAAAATGTGAATAACAGCACGAAACTGAGAGCACTAACTTTTTTTAATATATCATTAAAAGAACTTATTTTTTAAACAACATTGTGTTGCATTTGTGTGACCTGCCAACATGAAAATGATAAGTCAGGGTCAATGTGAAAGGATTATTACATGGTAGTGTCCTTTTGTTACAATTATAGGAAAGTATACACATAGCCATCAAATGGGCGGCAAAAAATATATATAGAAAATACAGCGAGAATGTAGCCGACCAATTCACTATAGTATGGCGTACAAAGTGCATCACACCACACTTGTATTATCATTCCTTGTGCATTGATTGGCTGAATATTACACCTTATGGCTTCTTTCGTTGTGTATGGATTACAGGTACACTTTATAGGATTGGTACTTTGTTATCCATAATGTCTCTGCTTCCACCTGTTAATACTATATGTAAAGTGGCTCCATTTACTAAATGCTATTAGTTCTCTAGTGTCTCATTAGTAGACTGAGGTAGTGTTTTACTTTCATCTCATGCGCACACATTGGTCAGGACTAAATCATTGCTTGTAGAAGGAGTTGAGTCACAACAGGAGTAATGGGCACAGGCAGGTCCACAGGCCAAGGAACATGTGCCTGGGTTTCCAAATTCTGGCTGCACCGTCAGCTCCCTTATGCCATGGCGCTTAAACAGAACTCTGGCTTGACTTAAAATATTCATGTAAGCCTCCAGTCCAGAACAATGAACGTGGAGAGAAGCCACCCCATGGTCACCAGAAAGGGTCCACATATGAAGTTCATGATGCCCATTATGGCCACAGAGGGCATCTAAATCCACCTTGAGGCTTTGTATATTAGCAGAGGTAGGAACGGCTTGGAGGAGGACACAACCACTTTGAACTATGTCTGAGTAAACTGAAGCCACCATGATAGCGATGGAAGCCAAGGAGAGAGCTGGATCCAAGTAGTGCACTGTGGGGTGAGTGAACAGGTGAAGAAGCAAACTGCTGGCCAAGAGGAGAGAAGAAGGAGCCAGGGAACACAACAGGCACAGCACCAGACGCCATCTTGGTTGTTGCGGATGCAGTGTTGATAGACACAGACCTGGTTTGGTTAAAATGTAGAGAGCAATAAACATTTTTAACACATATGAGTACAATGCAAGGAAGTTTACAAGATGGTTAATAGAGGATATCAGATGGGTATAGAATGTTTGAAAGCCAGCCAAATAACAGCACCAAAAGCAAGTGCACCCACTAATATGTATCAAAGAATAGGAAGTAAATTGTGACTTGCCAGCTACTAGTTCAGTTCTAACCAGCTTGTCTGTAAGTTATTTTTGGCAATAGAATTTGGCTAAACACAATCCTGTCCCACACTGCAATGATTCTGTTAGGCTGCAATCTAGTTGGCTTTGTCTTCCAAAAACATCTGGAAGACCTGAAAGTTTTGCTATTTGTTCCGGTACACCCAACTCCCCCTATGACAGCAGTTTGTTTTCTTGTCTTGAAGGTCTTGTGTCCCCTGCAAGACTATATAACCGTTTGAAATGCCAAGTTGCACCAGTAGTTCATACCATGTAGATGGTTTTGAAATTGTTGCACAGATAACTATTTAAAGGGACCTTCACAATGCCCGGGCTGGCGTATCAATGATGGTTACCAATGCGGGTTTTGACTGCACAAGAGCCTTGTTAAATATTAAAAGAGCCTACATCTACGTAAAAGGGACATTAAGGGCCCATTTACACCAAAATAGGAAGGAAATCGCAAGTCAATGGAGGGTCCTGTTTTTCAACGCGTTACTTCACGCTGGATCCGTTGCGTTTCATTACGTAACGGAGTGGCGTGAACTAGCCCCTTTCACACCCATTAATTTTTTGGTGCCCTTCCATTAGTATCCATTGAAAACATATCGCATGTACTGGATCGCAACACAACAGAACCGGTGTGAATGGGCCCTAAACCTAAAACACTTTCATTACAGGAATGGTCTGTAACCAGTGGCATGATATCCACATTTGGTAAGCTTCCTCTGCTATGGCCCTCTGATTTCCTGCTGCAATACGCACGTTCTATAAGTGTGAGGTCAAGCAAAGATTTTCTAATATAGAGTTTAAAAGTTTGAGTCATATATGTGATATAGACAGCTGTGTGACCCTTGATGAGCTCTTTGTAATTCTACATGAATGGCTGCCTAAATGACCCGATTTCAAGCTTTAGTAATAGACGGTGCTATTTCACCAACAACACAAACTTACTTAATTGAATTAAACCGTCAGGGTCATTGATGGCAAAAGTATTTTTAAACCTCAAAGATAATGACATCTTGAGAAATGATGGTGCCTGCTCTTCTGAGGACAACCAGTGACATGCAATGTGGCCTTGTAGGAGAACTGCAGAAGCAGAACTGTTGAAGCTGATAAGTCGGGCAGATGGTTTAAATGACTGTTGCTGCTCTCCCTAGGTATGGGGATCTTATAAAAGGCAAGTTCTATGGCACAGTGTACAATCCTCAGACCACTGACAAAGATTCCTAAAATGAAAGCTAGGGATCCGCAGTAAATGAACCTACCATTGGAAGAACTCTACTGCCTGTAGGATATTTGCTGAAGAGCACCTGAAGGATTCACAGCAATACTGGAACCAGGAAATGTGGGCACAAGGCAAAATTTGCACTTTTGGTATATAAACACCAAACCAACCAACTGGATCCCAACACCAAGACCTCATCCCAACTGTGACATGCGTTGTAATATTCTAATGGAGTGGGGCTGCTTTGCTCCTTTAGACCCTGGATAGCTTGCAGTCGCTGAGGGAACAATGAATCTGAATTCCAGCAAACGTTTTTGCAGCTAAGCCCCCGTTCACATCAGGTATGAGAACATGTGTGACAATGTTAGATGTGCTGAAGTGCCATGATTTCTTAATGGCACCCCAGCACCCTTAGATATTGCATTTGCGTTTAATTGCACCACAGTGCATGGTAACGTGGCTTGTTCTCCTGCTTCCCGTCATGTCCGGGTTTCTTGTCTTGCCTAGGTGAGAACGATGTTCCCTTCCCCTCTTTGCTTACAGCCTCCTGGAATACTTACACCAAGCATCCGAGGAGGCTTTGGGGCAAAGTACAGTATGTGTGCATGCGCTACAGTGGGTCATCGGGGCTGGCTGCAAGAACCAAGAAGTGACCGCTGGCCCCCTGCGAAAAAGGTAAGAGGGGCACACATAAAAATGTCTTACAAGCCAACAAATGTTTGTAGTTTCTGTTGGCCCGCTAAGATGAACGTCTCCTATGTTTTGCTCCTCTCTCGTCTAATCCGTGTTATTCATTAGGTCCCATGGTTCCAGCCTCCAAAGCCTTACCTTGTAGAGCTCCAGTTACCGCCAGATAGGCGCCATTGAAGAGCAGACCCAGCACCCCGGCCACAAAGATGAGGGCTGGCTGATGAGAGTGGTGAGGATGTACCAGATGTCCCAGGGAGCCTAAAGTGAGAGCCAGACACAGGGAGGAGAGCAGGAGAGGGGACAGGAGGGAGAACAGAGCGGGAAGACGTGCTTTAGGATAGGAGGACCAGGAGGACGAGCGGGGAAGGATGATGGCTGGACAGAGAGCAATTATAATAGACAGCGTACGGGCCGAGTCTGCAAGCGTGAGCAGTGAATCTGACAGTCTGCTTAGTACAATCTGGGTGAGAAAAACAGATGAAGCGACTACGAAGAGTAGAATATGAGACACCATTATGACAGCTGTGAGGAAGAGCAACAGAAAGATGAAACAAGAAGATAACACGTTATAAAGACATAAAACTTTAAAACAGATTGATTTTTTTAAACGGTATCTATGGGCAGAACTAAAAATCAATCTGTATTTCTATATTGACTTTCCATAACATCTATCCTGCTCCTAATAATCATATTGGATCTAGAAGTTTGTAAACTTACCTATTGTAGATGCCCATAGGATGGACTTCCTCAATGCAGTGACACAATATCACTCAGCCCTGTAAATATGCTCTTCCTTGTGTCACCAGGAAGTTGATGGAAGTGATGGGCAGACGGAAGGCAGCGCTCACTACATAAAAGGGTTTTTTTTTTAAGCAAGCTTTGATTGCATTATCAAGCTTTGGGACTTCACGCGACTAGCGACGAGACACAACACTCAGCTGTGCACAGGGGGACGCTTGAAAGAGACACGAACGTAAAAAAAGACTCTAAATTGCCTGCACTCGCCTAGGTGTGACTGGAGCATAAATGACCAATTGCGCCGGGGCTGGGCTGGGAATAAAAAGATTGTTGCTGCACGTGATTAAAAATTTGGAGTGAGCTTCAAAGCTTATTCGCCAACATTTACTAAGCAAAGTGAGCAATGACTTTGTTAGGTGAATAGCCTGCACTCCTTTAGTAAATCTCCCCCTCTGCGTGACTACCTCATCGTATCTCAGCAGTCGTCCAGCAGGGGGCGCTGTGGTGAAACACATTGCACTAAAAAGAAATCACAATTCATAATCATTTGTACTCATTCTCATGACTGTCAAGTTGTTATTTAATAAAGTGACCCTGAGATACTAAAGCTTTGTTACATTTTAAAAATAAGGGGGAAGGAGTAGAGCAGGGGCATGCAACCTTGGCCCGCTGTGATGAAACTACAAATTCCACCATCCCTCTGCCACTGTGAATCATGTCTGTGGCTGTCAGGGTCTTGCAAAGCCTCATGGGACTTGTAGTTCCACAACAGCTGGAGTGTTAAAGTTGCCTACCCCTGGATTAGAACCTCTGTTAGGTCTTTATTTGCGGTCTTTATCCCCACTGGGAAGATCCACCCCACCATTTGTCCTGCTGTATATTGTCACCCAAAGAAAACAAAAGTGATGTGAAATCCAAACTTCTGCCGTTGTCACTGGAACAGGATGTGAGACTAAAGCTGGTCATACACTATATGAATCCAGAACCAGCCACTGTCGGCATCCTTTTGGCCGGCATCCCTCAATCAGCTGATCGAAGGAGCTGGTCAGAAAATCTTTGAACAAGCAGAACGGGCAGCCAATGAGCTGCTGGGTCTGTTTGGGTATTCTGACGGCAGCCACTAAAGATAGTGGGAGATTCCTCAATCAACGTCCATAAGCAGCCCACATGTTGAACGAAGAAAATATTGCAGTGTATGGCCAGCTTTAATCTTCCACTGTGGACATCTCTTCTAGTCCTAGAGGGACATTTCTACAGATTTCCTCACTTCCTGCAGCTCTGCCAGGACAGGAAGTGAAGGGAAATCTCCCCAACAGGCCACAGACAGCAAAAACAGGTCTTCGGGCTTGTTCACACCATGTGCGGACCATGTCTAGACCAGAACAGCTTGTTCCCGGAACCAAATAACATCACAATGTATCCCTAAGGTATTTCTGGGCTCTGTTCACACCAGCGCAGTCCATTCTGGTCCAGACAAAAAAAATAAATACTGCTTGTCTCATTTTCTCTGGTCTGGAATGCACTGAAACGCCTGAAAACGAATCAAAAATGCATACAAATGCACTGGAACGCACCTGAAATCCCATTTTAAGTAACAGCACTGGAACGCAGCACAATCACGCAAAAACGCACAGCACTGTGTTTGCAGATCGGCTCCAGACATGGAGTGAACATAGCCTAAGCCTTTCCCACGCTATGCAGAGCTTTGACTTACACATGCATGTTAGCCTTGTCAATGCTGATTGTTCACATATTAGAACACGGAACAGAGAAGGTGCACAAGTTAGATGTGTCCGTATTCTAGATCAGGGGTGGACAAATGAATCTGGAGTTCAGGAGCCAGCCTGTCCTATCCAGGAGCCAGCCTGTCCAATCCAGGAGCCAGCCTGTCCAATCCAGGAGCCAGCCGGGTCTGTTTTAGGAGCCAGTTCCATTGACGATAACTAAAGAAAAACCTAGAAAGTTAGGAGCCGGCTGTCATTAAGGAGCATTGGCCACCAACTCCTGGGATTTGTCCAGCCCTGACCTGAAGCAATGCAGCATTACAGGTTCCCTACTTGAAGGAGGAGGAGGTGGCTGAATACACACAGCTGTTCCCAGGGTTCCTGTTCTCATCCATCTCCACCTCCAATGTCTCTAGCTGGAAAGTTTCCTGTTCTCTCTCCAACTCCACTACACGCTCATTGTTAATCTGTCCCCAGTTCTCCTCCACTCTCACTTCTGTCCTCTTACCTTGTCTGCTAACATGTGCTGATCACACTCCCCCTTTGCTATGCTCCAGGGTGACTGTCTGCTGCCCTCCTCCAGCCCCTCCAGTGGGGCTCCAGTTCCTTCACCTTGACTCAGCCTGTCCTCCCAGATTCAGCACAGCATGTGTCCATTCCTCCATCAGATGATCACAAGTAGCCCTTCCATCACCCCCACCCCAGGCATCAGCTCTCTTCTTGTACCAGCTCAGCTGACACTTGGCTACAACAAAGGCTCTTTCTGTACAATTATGAGGATAGCACTTTGAACCCAGTTATATAGCACCGGCAATAAATTCACTGAACACGCTCATGTCTAGAGAAAAATCAGCCAAGGGATCGAGTGTTCACCTTGTTCCAAGTCCAGGGATTTCTCACTGTCAGCAGTTTTTACAATGGTGAGTCCAGCAATGAAGGAATGTGAATTTTCACACAGGAACTGAACACAAGTGACCCATAAATCTGGCTCCCATTCAGAACTTGGCACACCAGGGCCCCCCTCTGTGCTTTGTGCCAGTCATTTGACACACGTTACCATGGAGACCCGCAGAGTGCGGAAAACTTTTCAAGTGTGCTTCAGCTGAGCAAAGAATGTTAGGATTCGGGAGACGCTCGGAGGAGCCTGGGAGCCAATCCTTGAGATCCCTTACAAATATTGCCACTGGAATTAGCAGTTTTACATTGTGATTTCTCAAGTATATTAAAATGTCTATGGCAACCAATCAGCTTCTCTCTTTCTTTTTTAAAGCTTAACCGAACAAACTGGAGAAAGAAGCTGATTGGTTACTATGGGCAACAGTTCCAGATTCTGTCTGCTCCAGTTCTCAATGGGGGGAATTTATCAAAACTGGAGCAGACGAACGTGTGAGTGCCTGCATTCTTGCACACAATCCCGCATGGCATGTTATGCTGTTAGGTCCGCTGCCATTATTTCCCAATGGCACACGCAACACACCTAGCCATTGCATTTGCATTGCAGCGTAACCTATTGCCTACAAAAAAAGGCTCATGCACTGTTTTGTGTGATTTAGTTGCTGTAGGCAATCTATTCAAATAAGTGGCCTGCCCTACTGCAACGCACCCTGCAGCGTTCATTTTTTCAGTCATGGCACCCTTTAAAAGTATGCAAAATCTAGAGGCACCCCAGTCTAATGTGTCAGATTTTAAGGGGAACTGCCCACAAAAACACTCTAGTGTTAGTAGTGGTTTTACCGCTTTACATCGAAGTGCCCCCTTCAAAACAAGATCCCCCCCTCCTTCACATCAGAGTCACCCTTTGCATCAGGAGGCCCGCTTTCATACCAGAGTCATCCTTTGCATCAGGAAACCCCCTATCACATCAGAGTCCCCCTTTCACACCAGGAAACCCCCTTTCACATCAGAGTCCCCCTTTACATTAGTAGCCCCCCTTTCACATCAGGAAACCCCCTTCACATCAGAGTCCCCCTTTACATTAGTAGCCCCCCTTTTCACATCAGGAAACACCCTTCACGTCAGAGTCCCCCTTTACATTAGTAGCCCCCCTTTTCACATCAGGAAACACCCTTCACGTCAGAGTCCCCCTTTACATTAGTAGCCCCCCTTTCACACCAGGAAACCCCTTTCACATCAGAGTCCCCCTTCACATTAGAAGCCCCCTTTTCACATCAGGAAACACCCTTCACGTCAGAGTCCCCCTTTACATTAGTAGCCCCCCTTTCACCACAGCGACACCCTCTCCACTCGTCACACACCCTCT